GGGCGTGTGCGCTCTCAGTGAATGGTCGTTTAGGGGGTTTGCTGTCACTGAATGGTCATTCTGGGGGGAGGGAGGGTGTCTGTCGGTGGATGCTCATTACCTCTGGGTCCAGCAGCTCTGTCTGGCATCCCGCCCAGCTCACTTATGTCACTGGTTGCCAGACGAGGGGCGAGACACCAGCCTGAGTTCCCCGCTCAGCTCCTGGCAACTGGTGACATCAGTGAGCTGGGCGGGAAGCCAGGCAGAGCATCATAGGCATCATGAAACTTTTAGCAACCTAGGACACTTGGCCGCCCCATTATGAGATGCCACCTGAGGCAACCGCCTCATTATAGAGGCAGCCCTGTGTGATGGTCTGCAGTCCGATTGAAGATTATTGCCCCAATCATTGATGGTCAGCTCATGCTTATAGGAACTTTGCTAAGCACTATTCACAACTATACTGGATATGAAAACCCTAATGCAGTACAACAACCCTTTCAGTGAGAAAACATTTGGTGCTTGCCAAGGGGTTACCAAGAGACCGGAATACACATATGGAAATAAAAACCAACATAGGACCTTACTGAAGTTCCCTTTTCAGTATGTCATAGCAGGTCCAAATCAGGAACTAACTAAAAAGCTATGAAGATACAGTGGTTGGGGCAACCATAGATGCACCAAGCCTCCTAATGACTGCCGGTGTACCTATAGCAGCAAATTATAACAAATTATTCTGGGGTTTTGAAGATCTGAAACTCTGCACATTAACAGCCCTTCCACTTTCAGAAACTTAAGGATCTAAACTGCTGTGCCATTAAAAATATAAGAAGGAGGGTTATAGCTGTTGTATGTCCACACTGAGCACCAGTGTGAGGTACTGTCACTTTTCCCATGCAGGGGAAAGTGGCAATGTCCCTGCAAAGGTCATCCCCAGCTCCAATTTACTCGCATTACCAGGGCTCCTTTGCAGCTCTTTGCCCATGCTGGGAAAAGTGTTCCTGTCCCTGCCAAGGGCATCCCTGACTTCCATATACTCACCTTACCTGCATTCCCTTGCAGATCCTTGCTCCTCCACAGCTGGCACTGAAATCTGCCCTGCTGGCAAAGTGGGGCAGTGGAGATGTCACTCCTCCGGTCATGCAATTGGCTGCTGGGCCTGAGCTGTGTCACAGGACAACACTTCACGTGCTCTGCCATGCCTGCAAGTGTCATATGCTATGAAGGGGCAAGGTGCGGCAAGGGGGTGCAGGTAAGGGGAGTATATGGGTTTGAGGGATGTCCTTTGCAGACACACTGTCACTTTGCCCTGCAAGGGCAAGGTGACAGTGTCTCTCAGTTGCTCAGCAGCACATGGTATCCACCATGGGGGTAAACGTGTCTTGTCTGCTGCTGTGCCTGTGCACTTTATACTGGATTTAACAAATAGACTATTTTATGTATTATTGAGGAATAGAGGTCCTGTGCAGCTTACTAAATGTGAACATTTGTATGGACTGCTCTACAATGGATGAGCTTGCATTGCCTATATCTAGTTTGAATTTACTGTTCTAGTTTGGGCATTTAGCTGTCTGTATTCTTACACCATACCATAGACATTAGATGGCAACATGCTATTGCAGCTATTTTTGGCCAGATCGGACGCATCAGATGTTCTTTCCTTTCTCCATTTCCTGAACGAGCAGAGACCTACAGGCATTATGGGATCGATTACCAGATTCTATGGACATCTAATCATTCTGTTTCAGCTATGAACATATTTATTAAAATTGTGTTTGATCTGCATTATTTTTTTTTTTTTTTACAAAACCAAATAAAGAGACAAGAAAAGTAAATATTTTCTAATTTGCTAACTGTTACTTTGATTACATTGTCCCTAGCCAGAGTCACGATAATCTGTCAAATAATAGTTTGCCAGGAATTCCAGTTTTATCTCTAAAATACCTATCCTTTCGGACCTTGTATTTAACATTCTTTCACACTCAACAGGTAGGATTCCAGTCACCGTGCAAAATAGCCTCACCCAATCTGTTGCTGATAATTAAGTGTTTAGCAGCCAATCCTTATCACTTTAGAGCAGGAGGAGTTATAAAAACAGATTGGCTATTGTTGATTCACTTTCCACAGCAAGGGATGTTTGTACATTTTTTTTGTTATTTTAGTAAGCCACTAAAAAAGTACCACTTTGTGAACACAATTTAAAAAAAAACAAAAAACATTTTGCACATTGCAATGAAACAAAGTGAAACTAAACTTAGGAGTTGCATCTTATACCCTAACTATTAAGAAAGGTGTACCTTATTTGTGTATCACTCAGCTGTAGATTCTCAAATCATCTGTTGTAAAGTAACCACCACTCCATAGTCCATCACGGGAGTGAGCGTGGAGCTGGGGGCTACTTAACAACACACACAGGGACGATGCGGAACCAAAGTATAACCACCTTACGGAAGGAAGGACGGACAGTGTCATCACCAATTCATTGATGATTAGAGGATCTACAGCCGAGTGATACACAAATAAGATACAGTATTGTAAATGGTTGAGGTATTTGAATGTGTTTAGTGTCACTTTAAAACTTGTATTTAGTCCAGCTTTCTAGTTTGAGAAACAAATTAGACACAACTGTGATATGATATGTTGATGCCATTTCTAATGATTGCCTTTATCCACAAGCTCGTTTTCACCTTTTGCACATATTGATTTTGTACATGCTTGTATTTTTACCTCAAAGTGCAAATGTAAAGTGTTCCAGCAGGAGAATATATTATTTATTAGTTGGGTCCATTCAGCCAGAGTATGTTTGGAATTTCAGGGAATGGAATGAAAGGATTATTATTCTCACTTATGTTAGGATTTGATCTAAGTTTACACAGAATTGCATGTTACTAGACATCTGTCTGCTGAGCCTTATCTGCAGTCCCTGTTTCGTTTCCAGTAACATAGTGGTAGATACTGAGGTAGACCAGAATTCTGATTTTAATACTTTGTTATAATCAACATAAGCAGTAGTACTAAAAAGAAAGCACTGCATGCCGATATGAAATCATTTTACATTCATTAGCCAGCCAAACAAATATGTTTTTTTACTTTAGTTTTTTTTTTTTTCACTTCCTGGTCCACTTTGGCACAAATGATGTAATCATGCCCAAACATTGCATCCTGGGAAGGTTACATCAGTAGAACATTGACAGGTAATCTAATGAGATCTCGGGGAAAGGCATTTTCCCCCTGAGATGATGTGCATGGTAACCTGCCGTTAGTTAAAACGGCTACTGTCAGAAGACTGGGGAAGAAAAGAAAATAAGGTATGGAAAGAATACAAAGCTGGCAATTATCTAGAAGTATCAGTTTGTAGATTACCCATATCTTCAAAATAACAACAAAGTCACCTTTAGAATTGTTTAGTAAGGACAAAGGTCAGCTTTAAAGTAGTATTAAGGTCTGGCGTTTTTTACCTTAATGCATCCTCTGCTTTAGGGTAAAAACGGTCCAGCACCTTTTTTCTACCCCAGTCCCCTCCACACTTATCTGTCAGCTGCGCTTGTCCCCGCCACACTTATCTGTCAGTGGCTGTGTGTGTCTATGGACACACACAGCCACTGTGGAAAC